CCGCCAAACCAACCCTGCCAAGCCCGCCATCCCGCCAGCCCGCCCGGGCTGATTTTGTTTTTTTAATTTTAGTGTAAAATGTCACGGGCTTGGCTGGCAGCCCGCCCAAACGGGGCGGGGCGAGCTGAGATATCTAGCTCACCTTCAAAGGTGGGGCGGGGCGGGCAGCCCGTTTTACGACCTCTAATTATGACTATGCCTCGACTCGAGATTAGACTCATAACCGACTCAAAGATTTGAAGCTTGTGGGGATACCTGTGGGCTTACTCTCCCCAAAGAAGTAATTAAGGTTGATATACCTTATTTCAAAGATTAATTTTTATTCACTTTAATTTCCTAACTAAAATATTAGAAAGTATTAATATAACAATTATGTTAAACTTGAGGAGTAAGTGGACCAAAAAAAGAACTTGAGAATGAAAAACATAAAATAAGGAATTGCATTTAAAAGTTTTAAAATATTCACATAAATCATCCTTCTAGTACTTCATAGAAACACATGTTTAGCGAAACATTGAATATATTCAATATTTTGAGAATGAAGAATGTAATAAACCAATACTTTATTGTTTAAAAATTAGTATTATTTTTAACTGTAAATAAACCCCGGCTCAGGATTAGGCCCATTTCCCATTTGAAGAGTTGAAGCTTGTAGGGATACTCGGGTGGCTAACTCACCTGAAAGAGGTAATTAAGGCCGGTATAATAATTAGGATAATTGGTAGGGAAGATTTGGAATTATTTTTAGGAAATAATTTTGTATTAAATGTATGCCTTATTTCATATTTTCCTTCCCCAAGTTTAAGATTATTATTATTATTATTATTATTATTATTATTATCATTATCAAGTTGATTATTAAAATAAAAAACACTGAAATGGCATCAATTTTTTTCTTGTTGAGTTAATTATAAAGATTGTTTGATGATTTTTTTAAGAAGAGTAAGGATTAATTTGTATTCACTTTAATTTTCTAACTAAAAAATTAGAAAGTATCAATATAACAATCTTATTAAACTTGAGGAGTAAGTGAACCAAAAGAACAACTTGAGAAAGGAAATTATAAAATAAGGAATTGCATTTAAGAGTTTTAACATATTCTGTAAATTATCCTTCTAGTACTTCATAGAAACATATATTAAATAAAGGGTTTGGTGTTTGTCATTTTAAATGACATAAGTTATGTCATTTTAGGAGAGAGATAGACACAGAAAAACAGAAATCATGGGAGAGAGAAAGTGAGTGGTTTTTCTTAATTTAAAATTCAAATTTTCTATGTCTGTATCTCTCTTAAAATGACATAACTTTCTGTCATTTAAGGGTAGCTCAGTTGGCAGCTGAGCTCCCAAGGGATTGCTTGGTGTAGGGATCAAACCCTGCCTCAAACAGTTTCTTGGAAAATCTTTGAGGGCCAGAGGATAAGCCAAAAAATCTTCGGTTGGGGGATTAGTCTTGTCCTTTCTCCGATTGCGAAGCTTAGTGCACCCACTGTTACAATGAGGGGCTAGCCCAAACGGGCCGTACCCCGAGGGCTTGGTGCCCGGAGAAGGTTGAATGAGGATACCTCCTGGCAATGTACCAAAAAAAAAAAAAAGACAAACTTTTTCCATAAATGAAACATTGAATACATTCATTATTTTGAGAATATAAAACCTAATAAACCAATACTCTATTGCTTAAATATTAGTATAATTTCTAAATGTGACTAAGTCTCGACTCAAATATTTGAATCTTGTTGGGATACTCGTGAGGCTGACTCACTTCAAAGAGGTAATTAGGGTCAGTGTACCTTATTTCAAAGATTAATTTTTATTCACTTTAATTTTTTAACTAAAATATTAGAAAGTATCAATATAACAATCATATTAAACTTAAGTGAGCCAAAAAACTACTTGAGAAAGGGAAACATAAAATAAGAAGTTGCATTTAAGAGTTTTAACATATTCTCGTAAATCATCCTTCTAGTACTCCATGGAAACATGCATTAAATGAAACATTGAATACATTAAATATTTTGAGAATATAAAATGTAATAAACCGATACTCTATTTTTTAAAATTTAGTATAATTTCTATCTGTGACTAAGCCCCGAATCGAGATTAGGCTCACAGATGACTCAAAGAATTAAAGCTTGTGGGGATACTCGTGGGCTGACTCACCTAAAAGAGATAATTATGGACGGTGTAATAATTAGGATAATTGGTAAGTCATATTTAGGATTATTCGTAGGAAATAGTTTTGTATTAAATGCATGCCTTATTTCATATTTTCCTTCCCCGAGTTTAAGGTTATTATTATTATCATCAAGTTGATGATTAAAATACAAAACACTGAAATCATCAATTTTTTTCTTGTTGAGTTAATTATATAGATTGTTTGATTAATTTTTTTTAAGAAGAATTAGAATTAATTTGTATTCACTTTAATTTTCTAACTAAAAAATTAGAATATATCAATATAACTATCATTTTAAACTTGAGGAGTAAGTGAACCAAAAAACAACTTGAGAAAGAAAAACATAAATTTAGAAATTGCATTTAAGAGTTTTGACATATTATTCATAGACGCACATATTAAGTGAAACATTAAATACATTCAATATTTCGATAACATATAAAGTAATAAACTCTATTGTTTAGTAATTAGTATAATAATTAGGATAATTGTAGGGAGGATTTATAATTAATGATAGGAAAGAGTTTTGCATTAAATGCATGCCTTATTTAATATTTTCCATCCCCAAGTTCAAGATTATTATTAGGGATCCAAATAGTTTAGGTTAAGTCAGGTTTTGACTTTAGTAGTCTAAGTCTATGTAAAATATTTAAAGTCTACACTAACCTATTAAAATAAAGCTTTGTTTTCAGGACTGACCTGACCTATTATAAAAATTAAAAAGCCTAACATAACCTATAAGGCATTCTAGGCGAAAAAAGAGTGAAATTCGAAACTAAAATTAAAAAGACAAAATTTCTCATTCATTAAACAATGTTTTTCAGCAAAGTCCAGATTATAAAAATTCTCAACCATTTATTTAAAATAAGATCACAAAGATCCTTCAATAATGTTCATAACAACACACGATATAATATTTTTAGGAGCTTTTTCTCCACTCTTGTCAGCCTTAATAAATATAATATTTTATTAAGAATTAAAAGGACAGCATGCTTATGGTCTAATTTTTAAATAAATTTTTCTATTAGCCTAAACCTGCTTTATTTTCTAAATAGATTAAGTTAGATCAGACCTAAAGCAGAAAAAATTGTAGCCCTAATAAGCCATTTGACCCATTTATACTCTTAATTATTTTTATTATTATTATTAGGTTAATGATTAAGAAAAAACACTGAAATGGCATATATTATATTCTTGTTGTTGAGTTAATTATATAAATTGTTTGATGAATTTTCTAAGAAGATTTAGCGTTAATTTGTATTCGCTTTAATTTTCTAACTAAAAAAATTAGAAAATATTAATATAATAGTCATATTAAACTTGAGGAGTAAGTAAAAAAAAATCTTAAGAAAGGAGAATATAAGATAAGAATTGTATTTAAGAGTTTTAACATATTCTCATAAATGATCCTTCAAGTATTTCATAGAAAAACATTAAATGAAACATTAAATACATTCAATATTTTGAGAATATAAAAGATAATAAATGGATACTCTATAGCTTAGTAAGTAGTGTCATAACTAGGGGTGTTAACGGGTCGAGCCGAGCCTTGGTCTTAAAAGGCTAAGCCTGTGTTTAAATGTGTCAGCCTGATCAAGTCTATTACCTGTTATGAATATAATTATCGGCCTGTGCTTGGCTTATTTACAAAAAATGAAAGCATGATTTAGCCTGTTAACCTGTTTAAAAAAATAAGACAATATAAATTTATCCAAACAGAATGGACAATCAACAACACTAGTAATTTTATAAATATTCATAAATTCAATGTACATCCACACGGTATAATATAAAACAAAATCATTCAAAAAGTCTATTTAACCAAGAAAATGGGGTGAAACGGATTGATGAGAGAGAGAGTGAGAGTGCTATTACAAGTAGTATAAAAAATATAAAATAAAAACAAAAATTAATATACTAGGCTAGCTTGCAAGGCTCTAAGGTCGAGCTTTTGAATTGAAGTATGAAGCCTTTTTATTAAATGAGCTTTTATACAAATTCAAGCCTAGTTCCAACAACCAATTTTAGGCATATAAGTTCATGCCTTCACGAGTCGAGCCAAAAGCCCATGATTCGTTTATCACCCCTCATCATAATTAGGATAATTGGTAGCGAGGATTTAGAATTATTTTTGAGAAAGAGTTTTTTTTATTAAATACATGTCGTATTTTATATTTTCCTTCCCCAAGTTTGAGATTATTATTAGGATGAAATTTTCCAAAAATTAAAAAGTTATTAAATGGCATCAATTACTTTTTTTTTCTTCTTGAGTTAATTATAAAGATTGTTTAATGAATTGTCTAAGAAGATTTAAAATTAATTTATATTCCCTTTAGTTTTCTATTAAAAAAAATTCATTCAAATACACTATACTATAACGTATTTAAAAGGTACTTGAACTTTTTTGAATAAAAAATCCAATTGAACAGTTACTCTCTTAGCATTGTTTAAAGAACAATGAGTTTAAAATTCACGAGGATGAGACTCGTAGCACTGACTCCTATGTGATAAATCATAACCGAGTAGAGGAAGTAACAAAAAGCCATTAAAAAATAAAAAAAATTCAAAAAAAACTGCCAGCGCTAAACGTGGTACACATAAGAGTGAACACTTTAACGGGTACTTGCTTTTGGATTGAACGCGCATAGCTAGTTCTTCTGCTGCATACATACACAGATTTGGTGTGATGTACCGTACACGCTTTGTGAAAAACCATGACCCCACTTAGTGAAAAAATAAAATAAATAAATAAATAAATAAAAAGGAAAAACCATCACTTATATACCGTAAGTCAATAAGGATTATCTCACATTGGAGTTATGATTCTTCCTTATTTTCCTCCCTTCTATTTTTGTCTCTGTCTACATCTATGTCTCTCTCTCTTGCACTCACATTTATGAGACACTGCATGTCTTGCTACTATAAATCAAAGTACCTGTTTCACCCAGAGAGCACAGTCTCATCTTCACATAAAGCAAAGGTCTTTTGGGTGTGACATTCATTGAGATGGAGCAGATCATAAGCTTTGGTGAAGATGGGAACATCAAATTGCCTGTTGGGTATAGCTTTGACCCCGCAGATGATCATCTTGTCAATTACTACTTGAAGAGGAAGGTCTTTGATCAACCATTCCCTGTTGAAATCATTCATGAGTTTGATGTTTTTCAGAGTGAGCCATGGGGACTCCCAGGAGGTTAGTAGAAGAAAAAAAAATTAAATAAAAATTCCCCTTTTTTTTTTTAGTGATTCTTTAACCCTTTAGTCTTTTCTAGCCATTGTCAATAAAAAGTTTCAATTTTTCCATGTCCCATGAAATGTTTATGTACTGTTGAATTGAACCAAAATGCTCTCATTCGTGTTTTGTTCTTTGTAGGTGGAAAGGCTTTCAATGATCACAAGTTTTTCTTCTACTACACCAAGGGGAATGTGAATGGAAACAAAGACAAGAGAGCTGCAGGATCTGGCCTTTGGAGAGCAGTGGGGAAAGCCAAATACATTGTACTCTCTGGGAGCAAAGAGCTGATTGGGAAGAGGAACACACTGATTTTCTGGGAAGGGAAAGGAAACAAGCCTATCAAAACAAAATGGGCTATGCATGAGTTCCGCCTTGAATCACTTGCTAATCCATATCAGGTAAAGAATAGAACAGTGTTCATTATGAGTATGGTGTCAAGTTTTGCATTCTTTTTTGTCTTATTTATCAGAATCTGATCACTGAATTTTGAACTCAAATATTAATGTAGGTGTCAAATTGGGCTGTGTATCACATATTTGAGAAGAAGGATGCTGAAAAGGCAAAGAAGGGGAATGGAGACAATGGGGAGCCCTCTAACAATGCTGAAGTTGAGAAACCAAGTGTCATGGATTTCACTGAGGAGAGTGGGAGTGACTTTGTCCCTCCTTCTTCACCTCTTTCCCCATGAACCCATGTTTCAGTGAAGCCTAAAGTTAGACTAGGTGTTGCATTAGAGCTTCATTAGTATAGGAAAATCATTAGGAAGCCTTATGTAACCCAGGCAACTTTTTATCTTTACTTCTAGTTTGCAGTGAATGAAAAGCTGTATATGGACTTTGCTTTTGTGTTTAGGACTCAAGAATTTGGGAATAAAAGTAGCTGTTTATGAATACATAGTACTCTTCACTAACATGTTTTATTAGTTTTTTCAAATTGAGGACAATTATTGTGAGGTGAAATAATCGTCGTTCTGAATAATGCTGATTGTTGCTCAGAATTTAAGCTTTATTTGTCAAAAGGCAAATGATTTTTGTGGGACAAAAACGATCCTAAGTGTGATAAAAATAAAACAAAGAATACATACAAAAGGGAAGCATCCGAAGAAAGTAGAGAAGAGGTTCTGTATTATCTAATCATGACCTTTATGAAAATGAGTGATACCCAAAGGGTAAAACACACAAGCATCACCACACAAGGATGTTAGTGCCCAAGTTTTTGTGGGCATCAGCACATGGATTTGATTCATATCCTTGTTTCAATAGAACTCAATGCTCCATTTATGAAATTCTTTCTTTCACGTCAAAAAAGAAAAAATAAATAAATATTGTTCTTGGTAAAAGTAAGGATAAAAAGGAAAGTATATTTTGGCAATCGTTACGAGTATATATGGTTCAAGGAATAAACAAAAGGGTTCTATTGTACCCCAAACAAATTCAATATATCATTTGTATCTTATTAAGATGCAAGCGAAGCAAATCTTGTTTTTATAGTTTACTTAAAAAATGATTGATAGTCCCTTTGGTCTCTTAAAAATTAAAACCTATTGATTTTTGTCAATATCTAGTTTCTCTCTTCTCTACCAGACAAGCCAATATTGTTCTCCTTGATGCACTGTCATGAAAAATATTCGACATGATAAGAATATTTGAATTATAAAACTTAGCGTTGGTCGAGTTAGTATGGGAGAACAAGGCACGAAAGGAAAAACTTAGTGTTGGTTAAGTAAGCTAAGTGAAGAAGGCACAAAATATTCCAATAATGATTCTTCCAGGCTCAGATAACGCAACCCCCGCATTGTTGTTGAGAATAAGATTCTTGCCAATAATGCCTAAGCTGTTAACGATTAAGAAATATTTGTGTAGATAAAACCATAAATTATAACAATCATGACAATATTAATCCATACACTCAATACCAAAAATATATAGTAACATATATAATTAGATTTGGGAATATTACAAATATCATCAACTTCTTTTAAATTGAATCCCATTCCTCTCCTATGAGTGGTGCTGGACCGCTTTAGATTTTTTTATTTTTTTTAAATGGTTGTCAACAAATCAGGTATTCTTTATCATCAAAATTAAATAACCCTCTACATAACATTAGAGCTTATACAACAATAGTATCCCAAAAAAAAATGTTAAGGTAAAATTGAAATGATTAAATAATTACTTATACTAATACTTCGAAAATCGTGTTAAGACATAAGATTCTAGAAGGGTGTGTTGGTTCTCGATACGAACATGACTCTAGCAGAAAGATAACTGTAAAGAACCAATTCAATTCAAAAGTTTAAATTGACAGGTAAAGTTACATTACAGGTTTTATATATTTCAACACGTTCCCTCAAGTCTACTAGACTTGAAGGGTGGACAATGTACAGGCCCATCTACCTATGCTAAGAAATTCCACAAGAGAAAGTGGAGGCAATGAGAATCGAACCCAGGACACGAGACTCTGATATTATGTAAAAAATCAATTTAATCCAAAAATTTAAGTTAATAGATGAGATTATTAAAGGTTTTATATATAACAATAAAAATAGAACTGTGTTAAAAAGTAACTGAGAATAACCGCCGACCAGAGTTTCTTGCAGGAATGGTGTAGAATCATTATTATAGGGAAGTTTTTTTTGTTTGCATCACATGTAAAATTTACAACGTCACTGACATGAACTGTTGTAATTTAAGTTGCGAAGAATTTGCTGACTTTCCGGGCCAAAATTGACAATGAATCAGACCTACTTACTGTACCATATCTACAAAAGTTTCTTTTATACCCTAGTCAAGATTTGATGAACAGCCAAAAAACATTGGAGGCGAGCTGATAATGACGTTGGAGTTTTCATTTTTTATTTATTTTTTTAAAAACATCTCATTCTAGAATTTGTTCAGTCATGGACACATCATAAGATGACTTGCATTCTTGAAAGGGGTCATCAGAAAAAGACTGCCACGCTTAAGTATTTCCACGCTGAAGAATGAAGATAGTGTTCAATAAATTCAAGTTATTATAATATAGCACCAAATCCTACTAAGATTTTGAGTTCTTGTGCAACTTTAATTTAAGAATATACCTATCAATTCATGGATTACTCGACTAGTCTGATTCAAATATTGTCGAACCTATTATAATAGACAGCTCTCTAAAAAACTCGAGATATCTCGTAAAGGAAAATAAGTTACTTACCACTTTAAGTTCAGTTACTATGCAATTTATGACGGTGTTGATTTAATAATCCAATGATGAAAGAATGGCACTGCTTTTGAGTTATGCAGAAAGTAATTAAACAAACATCGATAATGAAGTACATTATACCTTCGAATCCTGAGCAAAAAACATCTCGAAACTGAGCCCAAAATTATAAAATAAACAACACCGACCATCATAAATTCTGAACACAAGCTTTCAAAGCAGCTCTATTCATTATACCAATACAAACAGGATTGCATAGAAGAATGAAATAGAAAAAGAGTTGAGAGATCAGTGTCTTCACTTACTAATAATAATACATTTTCTACACCACATTCTAGTCCCACACACGGCGATTCTTATGATAACAATTACCACCCACTTTTTAGTATGCTAGCAGCTCCTTATGCCACTTTATACATTGGTTTCTAAACCCAGTCAATTGACCTTACTGCACCCAAATAATCCACTCCACTCCACCCATTAAGAATAACCCAAGTCATACTTTATGTGCATTGGTGTGACTGTGTGGGTATTTTGAGGGAAACAGAAAGAAGTAAATTTTATGGAAAAGAGTAGGAATAATAATTAAATTTTCAAGTAGTTAACTTGAACAAAGGATAGGGGTGAAACTGATATCAATTGGTGTAGGAGGAAAGAAAAGATTCAACCCGAGGTAAAATGAGGAGCCCTATATGCAACAAAGTTTGATTGTAGGTTATTACATGTAGTGCTACAATGGCAAGAGAAAGAAAAAGAAATAGATTTTCTGATTGCCTGTTTATGGAAATGAAAGTATGATTTAGATAGGAAGATTTGCTCAATTGACTGATTTCTACCAAAATCCCCAAGAGAAGAGGCAAAAATAAAATCCATAAAGATAAAAGAGGAAGAGGAGGAGGAGGGGATAAGATATGACGCTTTAGACCAACAAAGCCCGGCACAGTTGGTAAATAGCTGGGTCCTTTAAGAATGCTGACAGAGATTTGATTCCTAGCCGTGTGTATAGAAAAGGCTCTGTTGGGAGAAGCTGTACCCACAATCGTGTGATCTCTCCGCCTCGAGGGAATTAGTCCTTGGCTTTCGGATAGGGGATATCTTGGAACAATTTCCAAAACAAAAAAAAAAGATATGAAGCTTTAGAATTCAGGAAAGGTTTAGAACACAATTTTTATGAGGTAATATTTCACCCACTTTGGGACCCCTACTGAACTAGGACCAACATCCAACCGAGAGGGAGCAAAATGAATGCTCTTACTGCCACCGGTATCGGCATCACTGCCATAACACCAACCTTTATTATCACTGCCAATGGCAGAACTTGAACAACAATTTTAAAGAAAAAATATATATATTAATACATGAAAGTTCATTTCTTAGTTGTTAATTACATTTGATGGATTTCAAACATTATTTGGAAACTATTGAGGATAAATTATTCTTACAAAACTATCAGAACATCAAGAATCAAACCTTATAGCTTTGAGGGAACACAATTCAATCTTATTATTTGAGCTAACTTTCCTTAACATCAGTTATTATTCATAATTGAATGATACAACTATGCTAGAGGACATATAAAATAAAAAGTAGAGGCTATAACAAGATGAATATATAGTGAAACAATACAATATTAGTGAATTTATCCTCACTGTTTTTGCTCAAAATGGAATAAAGGTCAAAGAAGAAGATATCTCTTAAAAAAGAAGTTATGTTATATTTTAATTTGGAGACTAGAACAAAATTAAACTAGGCAACCAATTGGTTTAACTTATACCAGTTATGCACTCACTCTCTTTGCAACTAAAAAGGGCTACATATATCCAGGGGAGAGAAATTTATTTTTTGGTGGGGAGCCCCTTCCGGTCCTTATTATGTTCCACCATTGATCAGCACAAAATAACCATTAACCATTTTCATTATTATCACCATTAAGCTAACAACATCATCACCAAACAGGCTTTGCCAGCACTATCTTCACTACCTCACCAGCTGCGAAGATCCTCACCACATCTCTATCAGCATTTTGGTAGAAGGCTTAACATATTTGATATTTCTCCACTTGAAATCAGAAAAGTGCTTCAAAATTTCATCATACCATTGTTAACAAGTCAAATACTAAGCATCACTCATAAACAAAACAAAAATAAAAGAATACAAACTACGTTTCTGAATTAATACCTAGGCAATGAGTGATTAACAGCTTCACTTGCTATGAAACGTAGATAGTAGATAGAAGATAATCAATCTACTATCACAGAATAATCTTTGTATTTTCAGGAAAACTTAATAATAATAAAATAATATACATCAAATTCATCATTCATTAAAATTTTCTTTTATTTTTTGTTTATTACATTTTTGTTGCAAAAATACTTGTAGTAAGCCATCCTGAGAAGAGAAGCAAAAGGTAAATTCAAATTTCTCCCCAGACAGGAAAGTCATCATCTATACTTTTGTGTAATGTCTAAGGAGATTTTTTTAAATATAAAAAACGAAATTCAATAAAGAAAAGTGTAAAGGAAAAACTAGGAGGAGGATATACAGCACACTCCAAAATGGAAAACAAGAAAATAAAAATTAAGAATAGAGATGATGTTATTGTTATTTTTCCCTGAAAAGGGAGAAGAAAGACTGCGAGAGAAAAAAACAGTCACAATAGTTTACTACTAAACTTTT